ATGACTAGACATAAACTAAATGACTACTAGTATGTAACATTGCACTTATCATCAATACTGATTTACATAAAAATTTTAAGATAGTGAGTAATAGTTTGCTGTAATACTGTAAAATTGTAGTAAACATGCACTGGTCTGTAAGAAATAAAATCTTTGACAAAGTCTCGATGTAATCATGAACCAATGAGCCTTAACAGTTCTCAAGTGGTCACGATCAAACTTTTTTTTCTGCATGCTTGATTGCTATCATTATTGTTCTTTTCTAGGACTGGCAGGAAAAAGACAATATTGGTTTGATTTCTTTTGACTTTTGTTTCCTGGAGCCTGGGATGCCATCTTTATGCAACTTGGATTTGACCTAAGTAAGGCTATCTCCGATTGGGTAAAATCACCCCTTCAATGTCTCACAAAGAAGTTTCCGCATAAAAAATAGATAACCTGCAGGATGCCTATTCTACATCAGCAATGCAGTACACACATATATGGTAAAGGGAAACGGGAAATTAAACCAGAAAAATATTAAAATGTGTTGACAATTTACTGGGTGGTCGTAGTATTATATATTTATTTGTGTGGGTGAATTTCTATTCTAAATGAAGAGGACACACAACTTCAGATAAAAGTTAATTTATTCAACCCGTCGTTCTGGCTTACACCTTTTTTCAAGGGTCAATGAATGTCACAGGTACCAAACTGATTTTGAATTAGAGTAACTGAAATGACAATAGAACTACAATAATATAAAGGAACAGTACACATGAAGCATGCTATGAAGCATGTTAAATGGGTTAGAATTACTGATAATAACTGTAAAAGTTAAATAAAAAAAAAGTATTATAGGGGCCAAGCATTGTACCTGTTAATGGAAGGGTGTCTGGATTGAATGAAAAGAGATTCCTTAAATTTTCTGTCAAGAAAATTGTCACAAGTCTAAAATTTTCACTCGATAAAGTATCTCACTGATTGTACCATGTGCTTTGATGTGATGTTCAGTGGTGACTTATTTGTTGTCAAGATTACTTTAAAAAGTAATAATGAATTTCCATTCATTTTTGTGGTGAATTAAGGGTGATTTAGATTTGCCACATTGAGTTTAGCTTCGCATTTGCAAGTGTGGCGACTGGCTAGTGTGAGCAGAGGCTTGTAATAACTCTTTTCCCCATGAGTTGGAAGGTGTTTCATTTTCTTGTTCTCTGATATGAACACTATATGGTCAAAATTTTTCTTTTTTAACATACGAAGCTCTAGATTGTACGTGTCAAATCTTTTATCAAAGTCTTGCATTGTACAAATTTTAACCCCTTGGATAACTTTAACATATATATTGAAAAATGATAGGTCTTCATTGATCTTCATTTATTAACAATAATTTATTAGATTAGCTAAGTATTAAATACTAGGAACATCTTGTAGAAGAGAGAAGAGTCACAAAAGCATGAGATCTCTCAAAGTATTCTGAGGATTATACCACTGCCAAAAGCAACTATTAGGCAAATGCAGCCTATATAAGATGATCAATAAAATATACTTAGTCTAAGCAATTCTTCAGTTGAAATGATTACTCTCAAGATACACCTAAAAGATGACAGATTTAAAAATTAACATTACCTCTCTTACGTAAATCTTCTAATACCACAAATATTGTCTCCACTGAAAGTTTTCCTATCAACTGGTGAAGGATTATTACAAAGACTTGAAAGTATTAGGTTTATATGTATTGAAAGGGATATCAATCTAAAGTCTATTAATATGATAACCACAACTGTGTATTTCTAATTTATATTAGTAAGTTTTGTATCTTTATGATTACATCACAAAGAATTCTGCTTTCGATTAATGAGCATCTAAAAGTTCTAAGTTTATATAATATTTCAAGCCTACCTTCGTATACTATAAAAGGGGTTACTTATTTTTATATTAGACCTAAAACATATGCGCAATGGAAATACTAATTTGTAACCACTTTTGAGCTTTAGAGAAAATGGACAAAACCAAAAGGATACTTTTTAAGGATTTATTATAAAATAAAGGACTATTCTGTGCTTCAGTGATGTCCAAGGTATGCATTTTATGGGCTCTGTGGTACTCTAGGATTAAATGTCTCCATGCTTCTAGCTGTTTCTCTCTGGTAGCAAGGTTAGGTTGTAGTCTAAAACAGATACAGTAAAAACATAACAATCAATGGGATACAAGACCATTTCTTCATTTTCAATTATTTAAGATCACCATCTCAAGCTAAATTTAGTTTTTCATATAATATCCAACAAATGTTATTTTAAGTTAATAGTTAACAATGCACTATAACACAAACTCTTTTACAACCAACAACAAAGTTAATATTAACAAAGATAAAGCCTAAATCTGGATTTCAAACAAACCATTCACAGACTATTCAAGTCCTTAAAAATTTGAAATGAATAAGGTTGGTTCTAGTTTTTCTATGCTTAAACCTTCTATAACTAAAATTTCTCAAAATGGTAACATTCAAGTAGCTTCTTATTGCATATTTGTCAGTTCCTGTTTTTCTCTTACGATATTATATACGAAGAGAACAATACTTTTATTATTCATTTTTAAAGGCCCATTTTGGTATAATTTTCTTTTATCATAGTATTTAAGGACAACAAAGGGCATATTGTCCCATTGATGCTGTCCTGTAAAAATAAACCTTTATCATATATTTATCAAGCCTTCTCTTTAAACTCCCTTAAATTTACCATAGTTACCAAATGCCAACCACACTGTTAGATAAATAAAACTGTCTTTGCTGAAGATCGCTCCTACTCTGTTAAAATATATATGCTCACTTGTCCTACCATTCTTACCATTAAGTATGAAAAAAATGTTGCATGAACACTACCAATTTCCTTAAACACCTCAATAAGATCCCCTCTAACTTTTCTTTTTTTTATGATAAAACAATTTCAGAGGTCTTAATCTGTCCTTGTATAATAACCTTTAAATCCCAGGTATCATACTAGTAGCCATCTTTTAAACCCATTCCAACAATTCACTGTTCTTCTTTAATAAAAGTAAGATACTGAACACAATACTCCAAATGAAGTCTACCCAGTGACCTATAAAATGAAATCATAACTTCTTTAGACTTATGTTCAACATTTCTTTAAATACAACCTAAAATCCTATTTGCCCTACTCTAGCAACAGCGCACTGTTTGGATGGATTAGGAGACTGATCAACCAAGTCACCAACATCCTGCTCTTCCATAACATTGTTAAGGTTATTCTCATCAATGATAATTATAATAAAAATTATCATATCCCAAATGCATTATCTTGCATTTATTACAATTAAAAGTCATCTGGCATTTATTCGCTTAACTCACCAAACAACTTAAATCCTTTTGTAAAGCAGAAACATCCTCATTACAGACAGCAACACTCAAAACGTTAGTATCATTTGCAAACTTAAACAATTAATTGACTATTCCTTCACCTACATCATTGATATTAATCAAAATGAGCAAAGGTCCTAAGAGGAGGCCTGAGGTATCCCGTTTGTGACATTACTCCAGTTTGACTAACTTCATATATAATCCCTGCTTTCTTTTATCCAATGAGCTAACCTATCCTCCACACCTACAATACAGCGTTATTCTTTAAAGCAAGTATGTTGTGTGGTGATTTGTCAAATAGATTCTGAAAATGCAGATACATCACTTATACATAGTTACCCTTATCAAAGTTATTTACAAATTACATAAACAGTAACCTCTTCAAATAATGTCAAAAGATTAGTAAAGCAATATTTCCCTCCAGTAAAACTATGTTGAATATCCTACAATTCATTCTTTAAGTATAAATAGGAAAAAAAAAAAAGGTGATGCATCAACAATGCTTCAAAGTTCAATTCCTAGTAATTAGTGATATATCGCCAGACATTGGTACAGGGTCGAAAAAATAACCAAACTACCAGTAAAATCTAGTAATACTAATAATATAGCTTGTTCTCTTCGAAGTTTCCTCCAGGAAAACAAAACTTGTTTTTGGCATCTCTGTTATCGTGACACCAATTTATTTATTAACCTAAAATAAATAAACAAATAAGTTTTTAAAATATTGTAGAATTTAGACTCAACCCGAACATAACAAAAGACACATACGTAAAAAATGGTGGAAAATTATACTGCCACGGCCAATCGAATTCCGCCATCTTTAATTTGCCCAAGCTTTTTCATTTTCAAAATTATTAAAAAACTATTAATTTTATTTTCATAAAATATCATTTCATAACAAAAAATATAGTAAAGAAGAACATGGAAAATTATATTTTTTGAATAATTTGTTATTCTGTGAACCATTTAACTTACAATATTTTATATCTGTTTACTCCCTCTACAATAAAATATAAGTAGAAGGCGCTGTAAGTAAAGTGTGGGTTTATTCTCGTTACTGTTCGCATCAGATGGATTACAAATTAGGTATTGGTGTATTTATTGATGCAGATTTGCAGGTCTGTTGAAAAATTCAGTTAGGTAGAATACTTAGCTATTATTCAAATTTCTATTAGTATCTTCGTTACCAAAATTATTAAGAGTTTATTTTTCATGTTGCACAAAATATACGCGATGCATTAGCCTAACTTCTTGTAAGTTGTATTACTATTAATTTTATTGTTACAGTATTAGTTATTACTATTATTAATAGTAATACTCATAAATTTATATGAATTAGCAATCCTTAGTATTACTGATATTAAGTTATAATTAATAATTTCCTTTTGTATAGCTTATTAATTTAATGTTATCATAATTATGCGTGTATTCTAACTTGGAGATAACAACATTTACTGTAACTTGTAAGTGTAAGAAGTTGTATCTGCTAGTGTTACTGTTAATTGACTACTTGTACCATAGATATAATTATATCTATGACTTAGACAACATATTACATGTATAGGCCTACATTCTGTTATATATTAACTTGTAAGTTTCGTTTCAATTTCCAAGGGGCCATTTGACCTATGTTTAATTTATTATGACTTAGTTTAGGGTTAGACTACCTATTTTTAGTTTTAGTAGTTCTAATACCTGTCTGCCAAAAAAATATTTTTCTTATTTTCAACCCTGATGATTAACTTCTTTTAAGCTCATTAAGTGTTGCAGTTTGTGCCACACCTGAACTTGCTGAACACAATCTATTCTGTAGGCCAACCACTTCTGAGGAATTGAGTTAGAATTATTTCTTCCTTCGCAGGTGTCTGTTGGTATGTAAATCGATACATATATTAATATATCATTATATACCTATCACATTATACACACACACAACCTTCTATGAATAATTTAGAAGTTTCCTCCTTGAATTTTGTGCAATCATCTTGTCTGAGCTTAAGCTACAGCTTACGATAATTCCAAAGTCGCATGTTTTGTAAAATTTTTTTATTTTTTATTGGATTGTAATATACTGTTATGTTTATTATTGTAAATGTGATGTCAACATATGTTGAACTGCAGTACTTAGGTACCTCACTCTCAAGTAAAAAAAAAGATACATTTTGGATTAACAGTTTTGAATTGCCCGATTGGACTTGATGTCCAGCATTTGAATCCATTTATTCAGTATTTATGAACTGCCTGGTGCAACATTGTATGTTAATAAACAGTTCCTGGGATTCCTCAGTGTGTTGGTATTGAGCTAGTTGAAGCTATTGTCTGTGACTTCCATTTTGCCATTTGATATGTGTAATGCACCTGGAATATTTCAGAGGATAACAAAGTTGTAAAAGAATTACTGATGTATAGCCCATCAAAAATGATGGGGAAAGTACTACCATCCCCACCTAATAGTATATTCTAACCTCAAATTTCTTAGCTAACTAAATAAATATATTTTGCAAATTCAAGCTTGACCAACAAAGAGGCAGAAAAGTGCAGTTAGGGCAGTCAAACATTGGTAAGTTCTTTTATGAGCCAATCAAAATTAAGGTCATTCGTAAAATAAATTTGTGTCATATTCACAGAATAATTATTGGAAAAATCAGTTAGATTAAGAACTTCTAATATATAGAAATGCCAGTGTGTTTTGGTAATACTGCCTTCCAACAATGGCTTTTATGTCATATTGTTTAGCAACAAAAGTATAACCTAATATTGTTCTTGGTCTATACTGGAACTATAAAATGAAATGTATGGACAACAAAACTGGAAAAATATTTGTTGATTTCTTAATTTAGAGTCTCTGTTGATTAAAGAAGTTTTTTTATTAGAAATGTTGGTGATATAACAGAAAATAGCTTAATTCAGAAATGATTTAAGTTTTATTTTGAATCGATATTTTTACTTTCGTAACAAATTTTATGCACTTGGCTCTGGGCTAGTTGATCCTATACTACATTTATTATATCATCACTTGTAAAGTTTCAGTGCCCCCCTAGCATTTATATAGGTTGGATTGTACAAGTGTGTATTAGTATATACATATTAGGTGACATAATTATAGCTTCTACATTTGAGCACCATTTGTTAGACCTTTAAATAGTATTTGATAGGTTTATCTGAGCTGGTCTAAATTAATTGGACAAATGTAATTTCTGTAGATCTGAATTTCCCTTCCTTGGACATAACTCTTGATGGTTAAAAGTGGATCCTGATATAAAAAAAAAAAAGAAGCTGTCAAAAAAAGTCACTGTGCCCAAGAGAATTAAACAGGTGAGAGAATTTCTTGAATAATTGTATATTACAATAGGTATCTCAAATTGTGCTACTTTGGTTGATTCTTTGACAAAGCTAACTAGAAAATCTATTCTACTTTGTGGTATTCAGCTTGTCAAAATGTCTTTCAGTTGTTAACAAACTACTTGTCTGATGAGCCAATCTTGAAATTTCCTGATTTTCAGAAAAACTTAGAAGTCTGTAATGATGCTTCAGATGTAGGTTTAGTTCCTGATAATCTTGAAGTTGTTTTTTTTTTTTTCATGCTAGCTGTGTTCTGCTTCACAATGAACATAAATTCTTTGTAACAGAGAGGGAATGTCTAGATATAATTTGAACTCTTTAACAGGGACCTGAAGATGATTGTACAAAACATTTAACTATTATATCAACTAATTTGTCATCATCTCACATGGATGAAGAAGTAGCTTCACTTATACGTCACTGAAGTCTGTGAAGGATGTGATAGCAATTCTTCAATGTGTCTTGAGTTTTTTTCATGCATACTGGGTTTCCTCCTTCCATCCATTCAGCATGTGTTCCTTCTCCTTAATTTGAGGATGATACAGTTTGACTCGCTATTTCCCCCACAAGAGTTTGCTTTATCTATAAAGGAAAGTCCTCACCCTTATAATATCTTCCTTGACATGATTTTGTGGGTATGTTCTTTTCCCCTCTGTCATTTGATTCATCCCATGCTTTAGTACATGAAATCCATACTCAAGACTTCTTTGGCTTCCCTCCTTCACCTGACATTAGAATCCATGCAGACTTGTTTCTTGAACAACTGCACACCTATACTAACATGCTTCATCCTCCTCATCTACTTTACTCTTTTGTCCTGGCTTACAGCCATTCTTCATTTCTGTTCCTTGATTCCTAGTTTTTGGAATCTCTGTTACCTGATTGGGGGTGGACACCTTAACTTCTATTTTCTTTTCTAGTTCCCAATTTTTGTACCTCATTATCTACTATGATTTCTTGTCTTTCTCAATCTCACCATTCTGTTCCTAGGCCTGCTTAATCCCATGTTCCCTTTTCAGCTTCCTGTCCTCCCACTTACTGATGTCAGGGTCTTTACTAATATCATTGGGGACTATCTTGTGGGGGCCTGTCAGTCTCTCTTTGCCAGCCTTTGGTCTCTTTTTTTTTAGTCCAGTAGATGGTTTCTTCACATTCTCACTCACAGTCTTATCTCTGCACTTCTCTTCACCTCCTCCTCTTTTCTGTTTCCATTACCCTTTTATCTTCAGTATCTCAAAGATGTGATCTCGGATCTTTTGGACAAGAATGTCATCGAGAGGGAATTTACCTATACACTTGGTTATTACTCTCATCTTTTTGTGGTCTCCAGGAAGACTAGGAACTGGAGTCAGGTTATCGACCTGTCATATCTCAACTGATTTCTTATCATTCCTTGGTTCTGTACTGAGATTTTCTTTTCTCTCCAGTGGTTCTTTACACCCAGACTGTGGGTGACCAAGATTGATATTTAAGACAACTTTTTTTGCACATTTTAATCATCCCATTCTCCAGACATTTTCTTTGTTTTTTCTATTGGAGGTTAACTCTTCCAGTTCCCTGCTCTTCCTTTTGGCATTGTGCCTGATCCTTATGTGCTTAATTGAGTCATGGGAGCATTCACTTGTCTTATCCATAGATTGTGGCTGAGGCTCCATTATCACTAAGATGATTGGCTTCTCCTTGTTCCTTCTTGGGAGGACTCCTCTCACACCTGAATTCTTCTGTAGGAGACTGCTTGGCTCAGTTTTTCAAGTCTTTTTTTTCATGTCCGACCTATATTTGATATGTCTGGACGTGTTCTTCAAACATCACAATTTGTCTCAGCCTTCCCTACATTTCCTAGAAGCAATAGAATTTCTTATCACCAAGATTTGTGCTTTTCTTTTGCACCCTGTGCATGTGGTTTTTGCTCTTGGGAACTCTGGCTTCCCTCAAACCACTCCTTCCTTTACGCTGCACACACACTTGCTCCTTGTCGTGGTGGCTTGACTCTGCCAACAACATGGTGCTCTCCCACCCAACTGAATCTCTATCTCTTCTCATATGCTTTTTTGTTAGACTGGGGTGTGTCTCTGAACAACTACAAGACTTTTGGCATGTTGGCTCTGGAGGAGTGTTTACTGTGCAATGCTGCCTTTAAATTTCTTGCCTTCTGTTGGGCATGTTCCCATTTCCTTCCTCATTTTATAGACTGGTTAGTCATACTCTACTCTGACAATTCCACTGTGATTTCTTATATCAACCATCAAAGATTGTTCCAGTTCCAGGACTTTTTTTTTTCCACATGCTGTTTTGGGCTCATTCTCATTGAGATTGTTTCGCTGATTGTCATGTGCCTGTGACAGGTTGCCTCTTTTGACTGGATGGTATTCTACCCACAGAGTTGTCTCTCCACCCTCAGGTTTTTCATTGGGTTTATCTCTCATCAGTGTCTTTGCCACTCGTCTCAACAACAAACTTCCCTTTTTCTGTTCCCAGTTCCTCATCCTTCAGTCTTTACAATCAGTGCTCTCAGCCAGGACTGGTCTCACCTATCCCCCTCTTTGTCTTCTTACTAGTGTCTTTGCTTTGATATGTGTCACTCTTTGTCAGATCCTGCTGATGGTGTCTTTTTGGCTAGCAAAATCCTGATTTTGTCTGCTTCATCTGGAGTTGACTGATTACAATGCATCTTGCATCCAATAACCATCCACCAATAAGAGTGCAGCATACTCTCTTGACGAATATGACTCCCTCTATTCAATTCTGCTGACTTTCTCTCTCTTTGAGTTTGGCAGTACTCATGTTCTAACATTTTGTTTGTGTTCTCTTCAAGTGTATTATTTTTTTCTCTCAACAAGTTTACTCTTTATTATTTAATAGTGATATTTGTAACTTGTTGAGTTATTCCGAAGTGAAATTATTTTATATTTCTATCTGATTACGGAACTTATTACTTCATTACAAAAACTTTTCTTTCTGCCAACACAGTTGTGTTTGCTTATTCATTTTGCATTATGAATACTATGTTACCACTTCGGAGGTTATATGTTCTATTCGCACATTTACACTGGCTTCAGGTTGCTGTACTCCATGGGAAGATTTTCTGTTTTACTTTGTCTGGAGATTGATCATCCAAGGAGCTGATATTCATTGGGCCTCACCTCGAGTTTGGGAGCCCACACATTTTGACACACAGTCTGCCAAATTTGGAAAGATAAGATGTTATATTCTGGTTTTTGAATACTATTAATATTATTATCGGTAGTTATTTGAGTATTATTATATAAGTTTCATTAGTTTAGTCGATACTCATAGTCCAGTTCACGTTACAAATTAGTTGAATCCTTTCTCCTATACCACTGATACTATGAGTCTTGTTATTTTAGGATTACCTGTAATTCATCTGACTGGGATATCAATCAATCGTTTAACTATATTGTTTTTCTTCCATACGTCACATCTTATACATAATTATTGTTCATACACACTTATTTAATTTTATAAATTGCCATATATTTCATTTTTGCCATCAAGAGGAGAGGCACAATTTAATTTGTTTGAACTAAAGGGCAGTTACATTGTTCTGTTAAATTAATGATATCAATAAGCTAGAATTGTAATAAATGTAGGGCCTATCTTTTCTAGTTATACCACTGATGGAAAGACTAGAAATATTACTTTGTACATGAAGGAACAATGAGATTTAATGCTAATATTTAGGTTCCTCTTATACTTCTCAACATAGTGTCACCCTGCCATGGATTATCCTTCAAATAATGTCCTTTTTTACAAGGCTTGTTGAATCCCAGTCGTTAGGTTGTCATTGCATTTAAAAAGTGTGACCTGACATCCAGGAATATTTAATGAATTGTTCATTAGAAAAAAAAAATGTTTTCGTATAGATATACAGTAATATTTGTGATGTAATTAAACATCACTGAAAGACTACATAGTCTCTTAGATATTTGACCACCAACCTATAAATGCTATTTTTTAAGTAGGCTGTTGGTTACTAAGACATGGTTGTAAGAGTTGGTGCTGAAAGTTACCATTTACTTAATGAATTTTACATTACACAGAAAAGGTTACGTGAATGGTTCATTTTCAAAGTATTGTAAACATTATATTGCATAACAAAAGGAGTGACTGTATTTATGTTTAAAATTTATAATTTGTTTACAAATTTTCTTTGGGGAAAGCAAGGATGACCTCTTGCTCCTTTATTGGGTTAAGCTATTGTATTATCCTGAACCATTTGATTTATTGCTGGCTTCTAAATGTCAGAGATATGTTTGGTAGCCCTGCCATTTTATATTATAAAATTCCTAGTTTTTACATCAGAATGTTTGACAATTAAATAATATAAATTTTTTTCACTGAAGCTTTTTGTAAACCATGAAATTACCCCCTGTACTACTGAATTATATCAAGTGATACAGCAATGATGTAATGAATTGACGAAAACTGGTGAAATCTTTGTGTAAGCCACATAGGGAACTTAATAGTAATTAATGGGATTAATTGCAATATTGATGGTTTTGGGGTTCATTTGTTATTAGCTACAGATCCACAAGTAACTTGGTATATAAAAAAGTTTAGGAAATTGTAGTTAAAAATTTATAGGGTCCATATGAATCCCCATCCTCTAATTATAGGGCTAATATACAGTGTGATGTTTAATGTTAATGTTTATTATTGAAAGCTTAAGTTATATTGCTTGCTTGCAGTATGTTTTTTGTTTGTTTGTTTTTCAGATTTTATCAAAATATCAATTATGATCACCTTATCTAAATTGAAAAAAGAAGCTGAAGAGAGAAAAGGAAAGAATTCTCATAATGACAGTCTTATTTCCAGACGCAGAGCTTCTGTTAGGGACAGACTGCTTGTTAAAGGTTTGATTTTTAACTTTTCAGACCATGGATGCTAATTCACAGACATTTGTTTACATTATATAAACTTTTTGTGGTTCATTAACAGCTAATTCATGTGAAAAGTTTCTTTGTTTACATGTTTTTGTAAATTTATTTATTGCACTAATTTATTTTGAGTTTGACATTTATGTTAATTATAGACTAGTAAAGATATAAAGAATTCAGTAAGAATATTTTTGATATGCTTACAAGTTGGTCAAGTAGAGTATCATTGTATACCGTGGATTAATTCAACATCTAACCCTTGCAGTTGATGAAGGATGGGTCCCTTTAAGGGCCATCCTTAGCCCAAAAATCCAGTGAACAATAAAGTACTGAGAAAGGAAATGGTAAGCATTGTTTTCAGTTATCTTGCTACAAACCTGTCTCGCAGCAAGTCAGTTTGAAGATTTGTGCAATGTGTTGTCAATATGAAGTGTATATTATGAGTATTTTATCAATTTCCACCAAAAATATGTCATTTATACACAAAAAAGCTGAACTTTAATATCAAGCAGGTGCATGTACCACTAGATTATATGTAACAGGACAAAAGACACATTGTACATGAACAGGAATGTGGTATGTACATGTGCTCATGGCATAATAGTAATGGACGTCATTATGAATGCTGAAAAACTTGGCTACTCTGACATTTGTAATACAGTGACACTAAAATTGGTACTCCTTGTTTTAAGACTGACCAGAAGACATGCCTAAATATGCAGCATCAGTCCAGTAACACTTGTATGGTTTCTGGACACTTTGAAGATCATGTCAGTAGTTCTGATAACACTGATGACTGGGTTCTAGTGACAGCATAACATGGATATTGTGGATTTAAACAATTTACATCTCTATGTACTCTTTCACATCACATTCATGTTTTATGTTTACTATATGTGTGATTTTGCAGGTTACAGAAATAACATTGTAATTTCACATATGAAATTTATCCTCAATTTTTCAATTAATAACATTATTATAAGGTAAAAAAGGTGTTTTTGCAGTTTGTACATGGCAGACTATCATGCATGTTCCAGTGATTGAAATTTATAGCAGGGCTAAATACAGCCTTTATGGGACCCATTCTTGGCAGTATAGTGCTATATCTGCAAAATTTCATGTTTGTCATATTACCTATCTCAACTTCATTATTTACTATATCACTAGCAAAGGCATCTTCATCTCACCCTGCACTTTCATAATATTTTGGTTTTGTTGTTCAGTGCTATCTAGACATTTGGTAGAAGATGCTTGACATGTTTCTTCTACTCAGAAAACAGTTTTCTCACAGCTGTTTATTTCTGAAATTGATGGAAGTTTATTACTAGTGGGTTGTTTACATTTAACTGCGCAAGCATCTGCTCAGTGGAAAGTTTATGAGTCTTATCAGCCACTCCATGATAAAAAAAGTGCATTTATTTCCTCTTTACAAAAAGTCAATATTTTTTGCATCATATTGAGCAAGAAGCTTGCATTTTCAAAGTTTGAGATGTCAGTTATGCTTTCTAAATCAATCACATAGTTGGTGTAACATCTAGGAAGCCATCCATTTGAATGTCAATGGCCCTGGGGTTTTCATATTGCTTTTATGTGTCTTGTATTCATTCTTTTGACAAAAATTCATATATAGACATTTGTGAAGTATATAACATCCTTAGTCTTGATTGTGACAAAATATGTAAAGTTGGTTAAACATGGATGTCTTTCCTTGCAAGTTGGCTGTTAAGAAATAATATTGTCAAAAAATCTGTCATGCTTGCAGATGTTAAAGAATTAACATCTAATTGATTTATTGCTTAATATGTGCTTTAATAATTACTCTTTGGTACAGATTCTGTTTGAAAATTAATATATAATGTTTTTCACAGTGTATTTTTATTAGTACCATAGGTCTTATATCCTTGACTGTGGCCAATATAAAGTAGGTTGTAAATTTATTTTGTGGGAGAACCACAAAACCTGTACAGCTTTTACAATTAATACAGGTTTTTAAAAAAAAATATGGAACATATTTAGAAAAACATATATGGTGTTACTAGGTGTTCTTGAAGCACAAGTTTTAATTCATCTTAAGAAAACAATAGTATCAATGCAAGTCACATCATATATCCCGTGTTTCCACTACCCATTTCAACAACAGACTCCATATGAGGATATGATAGACAAAATACATCTTCCATGTTGTGTATTGTGTCACACTGATTTTTCTCTTACTTATTAACATTAGGTAATTGTAATAATCCTACAACAACACAGAATCTTTAATATATAGTTCAAAGGTGAATTTTATAATATTCTTTCTCTCTTGTTTTAAGGAATAGGGTCCAGTCCATCTATACGTTTGCTTAATTTGTATAGCAGTGCCTGATAGTTACTGCTGAATACATGTAGCAGAAATTGATGATCTAGTAATGCAAGTGAAGAAAAAAATTCTGATTGATACATAAAATATCAAAACTCAAATTAATTACTCATAATAAAATCTGCTTTAAGATGAAATCTGAATCAGTTTCTAAAACTTGTTATCCCTTCTAATATTTACTGTCACGTGCTGTGAAAATTAATCACAGTTTGATAAATGTAACTTTTTAGCTTTTTTATACAAGATAATTGAAACTTTGTTGTTTTTAACCTAGTTGTGTCATTGAATTAAATCCAACCGTGTTTCAGCTCTTTTCACTCTTAATATTTTATGGAATGCTTCAGTCTTCTCTCTGACTGAAAATAATGTTTATATTATTTTCATTGAAGAAAAAAAATGTTTTCCTGGTCCACATTATCTAAGTGGGTAACATATTGTAGTAGAACATCAACATTTCATTTTTCAAATATTAGACTACTCACTGAATCTGCTCTGTTTCTCTTGAAGTAAGAAGTATTAGGTCATCAGGAAATTAACATCATTTTTGGAACACTATCATTACCCCCCCAAAAAAAAATATTTACATTACGTATAATAGTTAAATGAACCACTTAAACATCATGTTAGTGTAGCCTATATAATATGTAAAGTTTAGTACACTCTAATCCCTTATAGTTATGGCACATGACAAGACACACATTCAGCATGTAATGCTATTTAAATACAAGAAGGGAAACAACACCACTGTAGCCACAAAGAATATCAAAGAAGTTTATGGAAATGTTTTGACCATTCATAAGTGTCAATGATGGTTCAGCAAATTTCATTCAGGTAACTTTAGCCTTAAAAACTGTGATGGCAGGGGCCCGACATGTTGGAAGTGATATTGATGCTCTGAAGATGTTGGTTGAGTCTAACCCAAGGTAACACACTCATGAAATGGCCCTGAAATTGCACGTGTATCAT